GAAGCTGCAGCAGAAAACTCAGCTGGCTCTGCAACACGTTCTGCAGAAGAACCAGAGAGAGGACGGACTGCTGAACAAGGTACACACACACACACACACACACACACACACTCACACTATAGTAACCACAAACTAATTTTAAATTTAAGTTATATAAATGCAATTCACTTGGGTGTCGCACTCGAGCACCAGCATCTCAAACAATGGGACAGTACAGTATCACTATCATCTCACAGCTCAGAGACAAAACCAGCTGCATTTAACATTAGATCATCGTAAATTCATTCAAGTGGACAGAACGCAGAATAAAACTCATTAGACGGCGTCTCCCTGTTAGTGTTTCCAAACAATCAGCACTCTGGTTTGGTGGAAATAAATTCTTAATTCACCGGAGATAAAAACAGCAGTTTTCAGTCGGAGCAGACCGGCTATGGAAACAAACCACAGAGAGGCTGCGATACAACACAGGCAGAGGGAGAGAGACACCATGTGACTCTGTATCTTTACACAGAGAATAGCTGTTTGCTGTTATATTAATGATTTAAATATCATATATGTAAGGCAGCTCCTGTTTAACCCGATCTTGAGGCCCTGTCAGTCTCCCTTTAGTAGCTTAACTTAAGTGACTTTATTTGTACCTGTAGGTAGATTTAGTTTGCAGTAAAAGAAAATATTTTACCAACAAACAGACAAACGTGATACGACATTAGAAATGATAAAAGATTAAAGGAACAGATAAAAAAAAGCTCCAGGCTCTTAAAAACAGGACCGCACATATGTCCGTTCATACTGTACTTTGTGCGTTTCTTTGAATAATTGTGCCTTTTTAATGAAACTATAACCAGCTGCAGTTTATTGATAGAGTTAAAATGTGTCACAACACAGCATTGAGGCTGTTACACTGTGTTGAAACAGTCTCAAATTGAATCATGTTGTTGCACCCTGAATGCATCAACTTCCCTTCCACTAATCTTTATTAACTTTCATCTGAGGAAGTATAAAGAACTGTGTGCAGATGCCCACCGGAGTGTAAAAAATGCTGATTTCTGAGTATTTATTGTTTAAGGGGCGTGAGCGCGTCGGCTCGATGTGTGTGTGTCTACAGGAGGGCTGGAACAGACAGCTGCACCTGCTAAACATGCCCTTTGTAAACACACAGCTGTCCTGTTGGCTTTACTGTAACAGTATCAGTTGATCACCTTGCAGATGGGTCTTATTCTCTGGGCCCGAGCAGTTGGCTGTTGCAGAAGCAGCGTGGTCTTAAATGTTTACAGCGTTTACACGGCATACCAAAAGATCTTCGAAGGTCTTCTGTGGTTTCTGTGTCCCAGTGTGTCGGCCGCACTGAGTTAGTGTTACCAGACCAGCTATCATCACCCCACGAGAGCTGCAGGGTTAGTGCATACCGGCCCTAAGCAGCGGGCTCGCCTGCTCGGCTACGGGGACTGTAAATCAGTCTTGTTCCCGAGCTCCACACCCATCCTGTTCTGGGTCTGGGGAAGAGAGA